TGGATCAATATGAGCGTATATGTTACACTTGACTTGATACATATTTGTTGATGGTTATAAGAATGATCATCCTATTTCCTGTGTATTTTTTATAAAGTAAATTGGATCATGATTTGTCATAATTATTGTATACGTTGATAATTTAAATATTATTATGACTTATGAAAAGATTTTTTTGATAATGGAATACTTAAATAAAAAAAATTGAGAGAAATTCCTTTAAAAGATAAGATTTCAAAAAAATCGCATTTTAAAAGTTAATTAAATTCATCTTTTTATTTTTCTTCGTAGTCAAAACACTTAATCGTGTAGTGAAGTGGAGCGTAAATAAGTAGTCGTAAGATATAAAGCACGACATGAATTACAATGATTGTTAAAATTATTTTTTTGATGGAAGTAATTATTTTTAAGGTAAACTACATGAGTGACCACTCAACTATGGTCAAAACCAATCTTCAATTTGATCAATAACTATCAAACTATTAAAATGTTTTAATCAAGTCACTTGTCGTTAACCTTTAACGGAATAAGTGATGTGACAGTTAAAATATTTTGATATGTAGGTATGCGGAATTGAAACTGGGACCTTTGGTTAGAATAAAAAAAGGCTAAACAATTAAGCTAAACCAACCATTTAATTTGTTTTGGACAACCAATGATATATATATTGTATCTTACTATGTAAATGCTTTGCTCAAAATTAATAATATTTTATGTATCTTAAATTTTAAAATTATCTTTTATTTTTTTTAAATTATTAAATATATTTTATTTTTATTTTAATGTAAAAATATATATTTTATCTTTATCATCACTTAAAATATTTTTTTAAAAATATCTTAATTTAAAATACATTCAAATATTTTATTATTAATTTAATATATATATATATATATTACTATTATAATTCTAAAAAACTAATATATATCTTAAATAACAGTTTGAATTAATATAATTTATTTAATATTATTTTTATATAATTTATAATTTATAATAAAAATAATATTTAAAAAACTCTTAATTTTTTTGAAATTCTCAAATTTCTCCCAAAACCCAAAGCCCTAAGTACCAAATTCCTAATTTCCCCATTGTCACTGTTAAACCAACGACCACCACCACCACTTCCATCGTCGGACCCTTACCACCAATTATACCACTTTGTCGTCACTGAAAATCAATGAATTGTGTGCTAGTCGATCATCAAATGTCGAATGTGAAATATTCTAATCGAACCATGAATGACAATCGATCGACGAGAAAATGGCGAATGACTTGCATGGCAAGTGGATGAGGTTTCAATGCAACGACAACGGCAATGGCATGTCGTTGATGATGATGGTGGGTGAATTTAGGGATTGCAATTTAGAGTTTAAGGGTTTTTGGGATTCTTAAGAATTTAGGGTTTTTTGGAATTTTCTAAAATTTAGGGGTTTTTTTGGGAATTTTAATACTTTCATGGGGTTTTTTTAGAAAATAATATTTGGAATGCATGACTCATGTTTTGTATATTATGCTTGTAATATTATATCAAAATTTAAGTATACATAGTGGTTAAGCTTTAGCTTATGTTTTAAAAGGTTTTGAGTTCAAATCCCCTCAAATGCAATATTTTACCAAATTCTCTCAAACAAAACTACATTGTTTTGGGTTTTTAGCACCAAACACAGTCATACCAAAACAGTTTCGTTTTGGCAAGGCAACTACGTCACGACGCACGGTTGCCATGTCATCGTCTCGTTAGGTCATTAACGGAAGAGTGACATAATTGCACTTAAAACTAAATGTTAGTGCTAAAATTGACAATTTTAAAAGTTTGATGGTATAACCAAGTCGGCGCTTAAAGTTTAGTGGTGTTTAGTGTAGTTTACCTAAAATTTATCCATGAAGGATTTAAAGTTCCATAAGTATACGAATTTATCTAAAAAATTATATACATGCCTTCTTAAATTTAAATGAATTGGGCCAATATGAGCGTATATGTTATACTTGATTTGATTAAAAAAATTGATGCTTATAAGACTGACCCTATTTCTTTTTATTTTTTATAAGGTGGTTTGGATCATGATTTTTCATAATTAATGTATGCGTTGATAATTTAAATATCATTATGACTTGTGAAAGAGATTTATATATATATATATATATATATATAATGGAATACTTAAAGAAAAGTTTGAGAGAAATACCTTTGAAAGATAAGATTTTACCTAGGGTTACATGTTGAACTCCTAAAATAAATGAAATCCTTTATAAAGCAACATATATAGAAAATGCAAAGAAAAGTTTCAATGCATAAAGTGCATAAACTGAGCACTACAATGGTTGCTAGATTGCTTGATGTGAATAAGGTTCTAAAAGAATATGAAGATTCTCTTAGTCCTAATGTACCCTACTTAAATGTTATTGGTGCATTATTATATCTTAATAGTCATACATAACCTGAGGTATCATTTTTTTTTTATAAAATTATTAGGAAGATTTTGCTTTTATCATTCCGAAAAATATTTAATGATATGATATTTTTCTTTCATAACATAACTAAAACATATTTGGTTGATATTACAAATGCAAAATACTTATCTGATTCTTATAATGCTCGATTACAAACTGGTTATATTTTTACATACGAAATTTTGACTTCATAAACTAAAATAATCATATTTCTAAGTGTTCTATAAAACAAACAATTGATGTTACGTCTTCTAATCATAATAATATTTTGTCTATAAATAAGATTAATTATAAATGTGTGTGACTAAGATTTATAACTCATCATATAAGAGAATATTGTGATTTATTATCCGAAAAGAAAGTTTCAACAATCTTATATAAAGATAATACAACATCCATTGCACACCTTAAATAAGGATACATAAAGGGGGTGATAAAACAAAACACATCTCATCAAAAAAAAATTCTTCACTCGTTATCTATAAAAGAATGAAGATATAAATGTTCAATAAATCCGTTCAAGTGAGAGTTTGACAAATATATTTATTAAATCGCTTATTACCTTTTCAACATCAGATTATGTTATTTCACCTTAAGTGTTGTGTACATAAGGGAGTAAATACACATTGTATTATTTTTCCTTAATTAAGGCTTTGTCCCACTGACTTTTTCTGATAAGATTTTTATTAAGACAACATGTTATGTGTATTGAAATATGGTGTGTTATCTTTTTCCATAGCATATTTGCTAGTAGGGTTTTAAAAAGCCATATATTTTACAATGTACATTATAATTTTGATTAAAACTCTTTTTTCTTTTGAACTATATAAATTTGATGTACTAAAACTCTTTGTACTAAATAAGATTTTGATTTATTTTATTATTATAAATTTGATGCATATTAGGATTAAAATTTTATATTTTTATATTTATAAATATAGTTCTTCAAATAAACCTTGTATATACTCATATTAAGAAAATATTTATATTTTTTTCTTGGTCTCTTTTTTTCCTTCCTTTATGTTCCTTATTTCATAATAATATTTGTATGTGCAATGAATGTATCAAAGAAAACTAGTACATATAAGAGATGAAACTGACAGAAGTATGTTTAATTTTCTAAAAGATTGTTTGAAAGATTACATGATCAAACCCAAAATTCGAATATATACTGAACACACTAATCAAATAATAATTATTTAAAAAAGTTAAATTCATGATAAGCATACCTTAAATGAAAATATAAATTAGAAAAGAAATATCTCAATGCAATAAAAATAATAAAGTAAATAAAAGAGAGTTGCTATGTGTTGTTTCGTCTTAAGTGATGTATACATATTATATTAGTTTACCTTAATCAGGGCTTTGTCTCACTGAATTTTTCTGATAAGGTTTTTATTGATTCAACATATTGTGTATTGAAATATGGTGTATTGTTTTTTCCTATAGGAGTTTTGCTAGTAAGATTTTAATGAGTCATGATATATTTTAAGGATAAAATACACAAATGGTCCCCTGATTATAAGGAGATACTTTGTTGAGTCTCCCGACTATTAAAAGTTACAAAAGGATTCTCCGACTATAGGTGTTGATTTGTTGAGTCCCTTAACTATTAAAAGTTACAAAATGGTGACCCGACTATTCATATGTTCCAAAATCATAATTTTCTATTAAAAGATTAACGGTAGTCTAAGCTGGACGTTAACCTACTGATTGAGATATGATAAAATTTTATCTCATAATCTCAACGATTATCAAATCTTAGTCAACATGTTAATGTTCTCCTCATACCATTGTTGACTTTTTAACAAAAAATGAAGAGTTTGAAACATAATGAATAGTCATGTGACCATTTTGTAACTTTTAATAATCGAGGGACTCGAGTAAGCAACACACTATAGTCATGAGACCATTTTGTACTTTTAATAGTCGAATGACTCAACAAAGTTGTTTCCTATGATCAAGGGACCATTTATGTACTTTACCCTATATTTTACAACGTACATTATGCTTTTGATTAAAACTCTTTGTACTAAATTAGATTTTGATGTGATTTATTATTATAAATTTGACGGTTATTAAGATTAAAGTTTTATATGATATCTACTTGTTATATATATATATATATATAGTTTGGGAAAACCTTGTATATACTTCATATTAAAAAATATTATATATTTTTTCTATTCTCTTTATTTTCTTCTTCCTTTATTTTCTTTATTTCATAATATTTTTTGTACATGAAACACACATATCATAGAAAACTAGTATATATAAGAGATGAAACTAATAGAAGTATGTTTAATTTTCTAAAAGTTTCTTTGAAAGATTACATTATCAAACTCAAAATTCGAACATATACTGAACACAATAATCAAATAAGAATTATTTAGAAAGAGTGAAAAATTCATGATAATCATACCTTAAATGTAAAAAACGTTAAGAAAATAAATATCTTAATGCAATAAAAAATAATAAAATTAAATAAAAGAGAGTTGCTAAGTGGATCTAACTAAAGAATAAATAAATAGAATAGCTAATGATTTTTTTTTTGCCTGGTAATGAATAAAAAATGGTGTAAGGCATGAACAAATATCCTAAAATGAAGCTGAGCTGGTACGCCGAAGCTGGTTCTTCGGCACTGTATCATTTGTATTTGAGGACAACAACATCTCTGCTTCCTATTGAAATAAGATAATATTTGTTTATAATTTTTTTAATCAATAAAAATGTACATACACTCAGTAATGGATCTAAAAATATTTTTCAGGATGACACATATGTATATGGACAACTAACATAAAAAATTTTGGATTTCAAGGTGCCCACCCCACCCTGGACAGTACATGCATCCACCATTGCACACACCTACAGATACAGTTACTCGAAACCAGGACTTTAAGTGAAAATAACGTTCTCTTTAACCATTGAAGTCACTCGATATCTATTTCCTTTACAATAAAAAAATAAAAGGGTTCAAGTAAGGTACCTTTTGCCTTTTGAGCCAGCTATTCGTTTTCTTTAATTGTTCTACTTCAAGCTCCAATTGATTGGTATAAGCCTACCATTACCAAACAAACACATGCTTAGTGTAAGACCACATATCCATATATGTATGTATGTATATATGTGTATGTGTATCACAACCTGCTTCCTTGCCCTGGACCTTGCTGCTGACTCGCGGTTCTTTATCATCCTCTTTTGCCTTCTCTCAATAGTTTTCTCCGTCAAATCTGAATATCTGTGTTTCCTCCCCACAGTCGGCCGAGATTCCAAAGACGTCGCCGACATCGCAGGCATCGGCATTGTAATAGCTAGTTGGTTGTCATTGTACCCGACATCCACAACTTGGTTTTCATAAACTGACTCCGGAACACTGAAATTCGAATCCATCATTGTCATTTGATGTTGCTGCTGGTGCTGGACGGGAGCCATTTGGAACTGAAGCCAATCAGCCTGATGCGAAACCACCGCCATCGGGTCGATCGCCATGAACTGTTGATGATTAAGAACAGCTTCTTGAATCCCATTGTTGATGACACCGGCACGAACGAGGAAATCCTCTAGTGTCGTTTCGCCGAGCGTCAATCGGTGTTGGATGAACTGGTTATCCATGGCATTGACATTGCCGCCTCTGCCGTGACTAACTATCTCCTTCCAAACCTCATCGACTGTCTTCTTGCTCAACGTTCCATTCAAATTGATGTTCCCAAGAAAGAAAGAAGCAGCAGATGAAGAAGATGGGTCTTCAACAGCTATCAAACTCCTCAACAACTCATCCAAATTCATAGCATTCAATGGCTTCCCTATCTTCCCCAACTGGCTTTGAACCTCATCGAAAGTGAGATTATACAAAGAAGTAGCTATGTTAGGAGACATCATGAATCTATCTCCCATTCACCCAATCAATAAGCACTCGAAAACCATCAACGTCGTTCAAAATGAATCAATATTGAAATCAGTGTTGAGTTGACTCAATAATCACACACACTCGGTTAAAAAAAGTACAGCAAAGGAGTAAATAGGATGTAGAAAGAGATTGAAGTAGAAGGAAGAAAGAAAGGGTTTGCAGGAGATGGTAAAATGGGTAAAATGATGGGAAGTTGAGATGTGAAAGGCATGTAAAGAGTGAAATCTGAACCGCCACGGGAATCCTATTTTTAGAGTGTTTTGTGTGTGAGAAAGTACTGTCATGCCTGATTTCATGGCTAATTTGTTGGGATAGCCATTTCAACCTTTCCATTCTCTTTTCACTTATTAAGGATTTGTCACTAACATACTAATACATAAAAGCTCAGTTATGCATGTCACCGCATGTCCGTTACATTTAGTGAGTTTGGCATTACTTTTAAAATTTGATTTTCAAAAATATTATAGAAAAAAACTATTAAATGTGCCGTTTAAAATTTAACTATTTAGTATTATTATGTAAAGTATTTTTAATAAGATAAAATATTTCTTTTAGATATTATATTATAAATTAAAAATATACTAATTTAAGTTATTTTAAATTTATTAATACTTTAATATATAAAAAATTAAATTATAAAGAATATAAATGAAAAATATAATTATTATTTCAAAGTATTTTTTTGAACAAAACGTTATTAGTATATAATTAATACATAGTTTATAAAAATAATTGTTTTTTTTTTAAATTGAGTAACGGAGTGGAGTCAATGCATCACAACAAGGGTAAAAGAATAATTTTACTTCAAGGAAATTTGAACTGAAAAAGCTAGAAAATCCAATTTTTATGGTTGGTTTAAAACCACCGTTCTAAGTGCGCGCTTTTACCTTTAAATATTACTCGTTTGGTAATGATTTTTACTCCACGCTTGACTTTTAGACCAAAAGTGCATTTAGACAATATTACCAAACGAACCTTTTGTAACATCCCCGACACGTACCCGACCTAGATACGAATCTGAGGTGTCACATTTACTTTTCAAAATTTTGCCTCTTTGAAAATCCGTTTAAAATTTAAACTTTTACTTTTATTTTAGTGGTGAAACCCTCGTACAAAAGTTAATATTGAAAATCCATATTTCACAACAAAAATAAATACTTAATATATTTACATAAACTCTAAATAATATAGTTACAAAATAGATCAGAGCATTTGTGATTTAAACATTTATGATACATGCGAACAAAATTTTGAAATAACAAGAAGCACCTACAATTCAAATCGTTCTGATCTGATCGTCTTTAAATTGTATGTTATCCTTTCCTAGCTTTACTCTTCGGATCTCTTTGAACCTACGTGTGAAAACACTCACACGTTAAGTCGTTGACTTAGTGAGGCATAAATGAGCATAAAAACTGATAAAGCATTTACTTAAACATTTTCAAGAAACATTGTATATGGAAACCGATATACATTTCATAAATATACTTATAATGGTATACAATGTTTAATTCATATCAATTTGTTTAAATACCCCAATACATATCACTAAGAACTCAAGGTATGTGAGTACTTTGAGGTTGTGCACTATAATTACAGCCAAAACTGTTGCGTAGAATTTGCACTGAAGTCTCACGTAGAATATGCACTGAATTGCCACTTAGATTTGTCCCAAAGGACTGCGTAGAATTGTCCTGAAGGACCACATAGAATTGTCCCGAAGGACAGCGTAGAAGCCTCGACTCTTGGCATGCCAACTATACCTCTAATTCTCGTAACATATACTTTGGGCTTTAACCATATAATTATTTCACATTACATTATTCAAAGTATCATTTATTCACATATAACACATTTACATAGAACATTTTCACGTAGAACACATTCCCATATAACATATTCACATACTAATAAAATCAAACAGTACTTCAGAAATACAATTTATATAAAACATTATAAAGATATTGCAAAAAATAAATAAAATTGTTTTTGATCGAAAACCTTCGAGGTTGGCTTATCGCAAGCTGTTCTAATGTCTAATATAAAATAAATAAGTTGCACTCACCTTTGCCTCACTTAAGTCCTAAATGAAATCCTTTTAACTTCCGTTCAATCTCTTTACTACGTCGATTCGTTCAGTATGCTTTCGATTCAAATCTACACATAAACATGTCCAAGATAAATATTGAATCTCAATTTACAACTAACCAATTGTTATTTACATAAACGAAATAAAACACCTAATTTAAAATTTCAGACTGAATAGTATCGGTACTCAACACATAGTATCGATACTTCTCTTCTATGGTACCGATACCTACTTAAGTATTGATACCAGTATGACATTATGGAATTTTATCTTCAATTACAGTATCGGTACCTTACTCTTGGTATTGATACCTCCACATTAGTATCGATACTACTTCATTGTATCAATACTGTTCATCCGATTCATATAATTTCCTTAAATTTAACCTTATAGTATATGTATTGTTCTTCCAGTATACCCTTACCCAGAATTCACATGTTTTAATTCGAATTTTACCCATAATTTACTTAAATCTCTTACTAATAGTTCCATTCATGCCCTCAAACTCATTAACACATATCCTAACCAACTTACATCAATTAAATTCCCTTTAACATCTAAAATTCTCCATAGAATACTTAAAACTAAAATCATACCCATTTTCAAACATGCTTCTAAATCCTTTCTAATACTTCAAATACTTTATTCAAAACTTTGACAAGTCAATTATACCTTTAACATCCAAAAACTACTCAAATTTTGTCAACTCCTTAAAAACCAATTTTACCAAATTCACCATTAATTCATCAATCCTATAGTTTGTAATCATCCTTAAGCTTTTCTTAAGCTTCTATACCAACCAAAGATTCAAAACCAACCCAAAATTTCAAGAAACTACCAACTTAAAAATAACTCACTTTGGCAATGGAGTCACGGTAGAAAGCAAGGAGAAGATGAAGACAACTCTCTAGATTTTTCTTTTCCTTTCACTCTAATTCCTCACATACTTAAATACCTTAAAAGGGAATTTTAAATTCATTACGTACTAAAAGAGCATTATACCCTTCCACTCTTTAATCTTTGATAAAATTTCCTAAACAAAAGTTTCCAAATAAATCCTTGAACATTTCAATTTATCAAAATTAAACAACTAAATTTTAAATCCTTACTCTTTAGTCACTAACCCGATGTTTGGGGTATTACAATTCTCCCCCTTAAGAAAATTCATCCTCAGTTTTTTCACTACATAAAGAGATGAGGAAATTGTCTTCTCATGTCCTCTTCACGCTCCCATGTCACCTTCACGCTCCCATGTCACCTCTTCCACTTTGTGATTTCTTCAAAGAACTTTAACTAATGGAATCGTATTGTTCCTTAGTTGTTTGACTTCATGTGCTAAAATCTCTGCACTGGTTCTTCCTCATAGGTCAGATCAAATAGGACTTCTATAACTTTCGGTGCTATGATGCGTGAAGGATCTTATCGATATCTTCTAAACATTGAAACATGAAAAACATTATGGATCTTCTCCATTTCTGACTGCCGGAGGTCTTCCACGGAAGCTACTCTCAACCTGGCGTTGGGAGCAGCCTACTACCCTACCTCCCCCTTACCCCATACATATGGGAATTGGGTTTTGTTGTTGTTGTTGTTGTTGTCCATTTCTGGTGGCAATGCTAACTGATATGCTACTGATCCCACTTTCTTTATAATCTCATATGGTCCAATGAATCTAGGACTGAGCTTTCCTTTTCGACCAAAACGAAGTACTTTCTTCCAAGAAGAGACTTCAAAAAAACTTTATCTCCTATTTGATACTCAATCTTTTTTTTCAAATCCGCGTAGGACTTTTGTCTGTCTGCTACAACTTTAATATTATGCTGGATCATCTGAACTATTTTTCTAATTTCTTAATCAAATCAGTGCCCATAACATATCTATCTTTTAATTCAAACTATTTTAATGGTGTTCGACAATTTCTTCCATATAAAGCTTCGTAGGGCGCCATTTTGATACTCGAGTAATAATTGTTATTGTACGTAAACTCTGCGAGTGGTAGATACTTCTTCCACGATCCAAAGAACTCAATCACACATGTCCTTAACATATCTTCCAGAACCTTAATAGTTCGCTTAGATTGACCATCTGTATGTGGGTGAAAAGTTATACTAAAGTTCAATCGGGGTATCTAAAGCTCCATGTAAATATTTCTAAAACCTTGAATTAAACTTTGGATCTCTGTTAAATACTATTAAAACTGGTACTCCATGTAGTCGAACTATCTCCTTGATGTATAATTCAACATACTTATCCATTGAATAATCAGTTCGAATAGGAATGTAGTGTGTTGTCTTCATCAACCTATCAACAATTACCCAAATTGAGTCATTTTTATCCACTATCAATGGTAACCCCGTTACTAAATCCATTATAACTCTTTTCTATTTCAATTGAGGAATAGAGATCGTTTGTAAAAGTCCTAAAGGCACATGATGTTCAGATTTCACTTGTTAGCAGATTATACACTTTGCAATAACTCTGTAATCTTGATCATCTTGTTCCCTCTTGGATGTATAGTTAATGGGCTAAAATGTGATTCAGAAAGTATATCTCTCTTCAACTCTTTGTCACTTGGAACACAAACTCGATCTCTGTAGTATAAGCATTCATCTGACTTTACTTCAAAGTCTTTGATTTCACCTTTTCCACTTGTACCAATCTTGCTAAACATTTATCATCTCTCCTTTGCGACTCCTTTATTCGCTCTAACAATAAAGGTCTTAGCTTTAATTCAGTCATCAGAGCACCACTATCTTTTAAAAATCAGGCATCTAACATGCGTAAAGCTGTAAAAGTCTTTCGACTAAGTGCATCAGCTACCACATTAGCCTTCCCGAGGTAATAGTCTATGATTGCATCGTAGTATTTAAGTAACTCGATCCATCTCCTTTATCTCAAGTTTAACTCCTTTTAAGTCAACAAAT